TTTATCTTCAATAAAGGTGCACGTAGCAATTATCATTTTAATAGCGTAACTATCTTTTTTCTCAAATATAAAAAATCCAAATTGATTTGTTCGCTTTCACTAAGCAATTTATAATGAGAAATAATAGTAGTTTGTCGAGTTTTTTGTGATTGTGATGATAAAGTTTTTTCAATTTCTATATATGTTTGATGCTTTTTAGAATGACGATGGTTATCAATAACTGATTTATGTTTGTGATCAATAACAATTTTACAGAAGCGACAAAAAAGCTTGCCACCATCAGCATAAAACTCTTCTTTGTATTCACTAGATTTAGCACGATCAAAAGCAGATACGCTCATTTTTTTAATATTTAAAAGGTTGTATATTAAAAATATTGTATTTATTTATATTTGAGAAAAAAGATAGTTACGCTATTAAAATGATAATTGCTACGTGCACCTTTATTGAAGATAAATTATTATTTTTTTATATTTTTTTTTTAATTTTTATTAATTTATTTTTACATTTTTTTTAATTTAAACTAATTTATACTTTCATCTTAAAAATTATACTCCTGCTTAATAAAAACTTTTTTGCGTATGAAATATTCTTGTGAAAATTAATATATAATTATAAGCTTAATTCAAATAAGCTTAATTTATTTATTTATTCATTTGTAGCATATAAGTGCCACAACAAAAAAAAATTTATAATTCTTCATTTAATGAAAATTACAAGTTTCTTTTTCATGATACTTATATTTAAACTATGATTTTATTATAGCAGTTTGCAGAAAGGTGTAGTACCGTGATTTTCATAATAATGATAAAAAATTTCAGAAATTCTAAATTGTTAAAATTGCTAAAGAATCAAAAAATCTGTATGATTTCATATGATAATATAACCTGCAGGCAAACCGCCATAAATTATTTTCCTTTTTAAGGATTGCCAAGAATATTATTATAAAGAATATTGATTTAGTATTTGGGTACTTATGCATGAGATTTTGTAATTTTATTAGTTCTAGATTATACAGAGTGATTCGAATTTGATTACTTAATCAAAAAATTGCTTTTTATGTGTAATTTATGTGTGTATGTTTAAATTATATAAATCACATAAAAAAATGTACTATAAAGTAAATTATGCGAATATTATGTCAAATCATAATCCTAGACACCCTAAACTAGAGTAAAAAAATAAAAAAATAAGCTTGCGATCTTTTGTGCATTGGCTTTGTAAGTTGACATGATTGTTCATAAGTTGGTATAACTAGAGTAATTATAAAGTACCAGAACATTTCAGAATAGTAGAAAGTCAACGAACACAAAATACGAGCACAACCATCAGGTAATTTCGGTAACTTGTGAAAAATTTTAATAATATATGATATATATTTATGAGGGACATGCCCCAAAAATTTTTCGTGCCTACAACCCTAGCTGCTACGCATGCTTGTTGTCTAAATCTGTTTATGTATTGGTTTGTTTGTTTTGTCTGTTTTTGTATTACCAACAATGATCTGTGTTTAGGATCAAGTAGTTCACTACTTTTTGCTAAAAATTCCTTTAAAAGTTTTGTTTTTCTTGGTTATCTCTCTTGTTGTATGTTTGATCTTGTTTGTTTCTAAATCTAATATCTGTTGTTTTTGTTGCTCTTTCTTTTTCTTGCTTTCTGTTTGTTTGTGTTTGAGTGATCAGTAAAAAGAGTTCTGAATATTTTTTTTTTTTGATTTGTTTATTTATTCTATTTATTTTATTTTTTTCTTTATTAGTTTTTTTTTCTTGAACTAATACTAACCTATTCTTTTTTCTTTTGTTCTTTTTGCTATTGCTTTTTTTTATTTATTTATTTTTTTAATTAGTAATTCATCACTCAACCAGAGAGCTTATAGTATAATGTAATGTGGTTTATT